GGTGGGCGCCCACCTTCATGGCTGCCCGTTGCCGCTTCCCGACGCTGCCCCTGCTGCCCGCTGCCATTTCCCGCCGCCGGCGACGGGGCGCTCGACTCTGGAAAACGGCTGTCCCCCTTCTCCAAAAAGTTTTTTGGGCGAAAGGCCTGGCGAATTCGAAAATTTGAATTCGGCAGGCCCTTCCCCCAAAACCATTTTCGGAGGCGGGGCGCAGCCGGTTTCCCGAGTCGCGCGCTCCGGTCGTCAATTTTGCCGGGGTGGGGGCCCGCCATCTGAAGGAAAACCATTATAAAAAAAAAGTCCGCCACCCCTCTTTTTTTGTGCGCAGGGCGCTACGGAGCGCCGTGCGGTGTGCTGCGCTCTGTGTGCAACGCATGCGCAAACCAGCGCACCGCGGTGCGCCGCAACTATGATTATAGCATAATCTCCAAAGTAATATGTTACAGTAATTGTGCTGTTTCTCAAAGCTGTTTTAATTTATTGTGGTTTCAAAAGTTTAAAATCATTTTGTTTTGCCAGATATTTCACGGAGTTCAGGGGATGCTGAAGGTGGTTTCAGAAGCTGCCACTCCTGAGGGGGTTCAGAAGCTGCTACTGCTGAGGTGGTGTCGGAAGCTGCTACTGCTGCCATGGTGCAGAAATTGAGCAGGTGCTATGAGATTGTGTGGGCTTATCTGGTGTAGTCTGTTGAGAAGACCTCGTTCACGATGGCCGGTTGTTGCCTGAGCACATCAAATGACACAAGTCTAGTGAGCTTACAATGCAACAATATGGTCAGCCATGGATGATGGAAACCAATTTCCAAAGCGGAAAGGAGGAAGTAGGATATTGGGGTGGTGAAACAGAGTGTATGATCGCATCTGGGATTTCTTGGGCGTACGTTCACGCACCAGTGCATGTGGAGGTGGTCTTGTTTGTAAACCACAATCTCTTCAAGCCTCTTTTTGCTGAGGCGGATTAAAATTGTGCTCTAAGCTTTGCCGAACGCCAGCGCGGAGTTCTTTGTTCTTTTCTTTTGTGGCTGGCACCGCCAGCCATTTTGGTCCGGTAGCCCTGAACCTCCGAGTTTTTCGGACTGGCTTGATTTCGATTCTCAAGTTTGCCTGGGCGAAGTACTGGTGGTTTAAAGTATCTGCTGGATTTCCTGCTTACACACAGATGTGTATGGACCTTTTACCTGACGAAGTGTCAGCGGCCTAGGACAAGAGATAGAACAGGTGGGAAGCAGTGCATGAGAGAGAGAGAGAGAGAGAGAGAGAGAGAGAGAGAGAGAGAGAGAGAGAGAGAGAGAGAGAGAGAGAGAGAGAGAGAGATGTTGGGGTAGCAGCCTCCTTATACCAACGGCCAGCCAACCAGGTTGTTGGTTATGGGAGGTATGCTATGAAATTATTTATTGGTGAACTGGTAGAAAATTGGCGTGTTTTGTAGTGCACCAAACTCTCCGGAAACCAGTACGATTTTCTTGCTTCCATGTCGTTTCCATGTGACATGGAGGAGAGATGATGTAGGACATTCCTGGCCTGGATTTCACGAATAGATTGTGGTCTCATCCCACAGCACACACGATTGAGGGTCAGTGTGGCCCAGCACAGCAGCAGTGGGGCTCAGGGCTATTGTTTAGTGATGAGACGTAAGACTGACAGACCTAGAAAGCTAGGGACAGAGCTCAGATGCTCTCTACGTACCCAGCTGATTATTGTGGCTGAATGGTACACACAGGAAACTGTCCATGAACAGATCATGAGTGAATCACAAGGATAGTATTAAGGTTAGGTTCTAGCCCCGATGGGAAAAAAAACAGCTCTCCGCACCTGTGTGTAACAGAGGCCCTGAACAAGATGGCGTCTTTCTACCTATTGCATCGCAGTGACGATTCAGTAATCTGTCGTTCTTTGGAAAACAACAGAAGGGTTCCAGTTCGGATGGTGCTGTCCTTCCTTCAGCACAATTCAGAAAGCAAGTCGTCCCAAAAATCGGCTGTCACTGCAGCACCACTTAGCAATTTGCCACTTAGCAATTCGCATTGTGGTAGGGGTTTAGGTCTGGCTGGCTGTCTTTCTAAGGACCAGGATTTTGCCACGTTTACTAGTCCACGTAATTTTCTACAGGATTTGTTATTGACCAATAGGTTTCGCGCTGTTGTGTGCATGCTACTGACTTCCCTGTTGTTTGTCTCAATGAGGGTTTCCTCTTCTGGACAACTACAACTCCAGATGTCTAAACATGTTTCACAATCGATGCAATCTTCTCGATCAATGCCTTTGAGAGGAGTTCCCACAAGGTTACTTGGTGGAAGTTTAGATGCCCGGTCAAAGGAGGGGGAGGGGGAGAGAGAGGGGGAGGGAGAGGTTGATGGCAGGGATAGAGAAGATGGGACGGAGGAGAAAAAGGAGCCACCAGCATGGTCGATAGTCGGTGGAAGTGTTGCCGATGAGGTACTCTTTGCTCATCAGGTCTCTGTGCAAATACTGAAAGGGAGTGCGAGTTTTATTTGTGGTGGAACACTGATCGACCCACAGTTCGTGGTGACAGCTGCACACTGTGTTCTTGATGGCAATTCCTCTGGGTTTGTGGGAATCCCTTTTGAAAATCTAACAGTGGGAGTAGGGACGCAAGCACTGGAGCAAAGCCGCCGTGTCCCAATTTCGCAGGTGTGGGCTCATCCAGCCTTCAACTTTACCGCCTTCGACCATGACATTGCCCTTTTGAAGTTAGGGTTATCGTTGCCGATAACTGACAAGGTAAGGCCCATCAAGATTGCAGTGAATAATGATACGAACTACCTAGCTGCTGGTGCGGATATCACGATCAGCGGATGGGGCGCCATGTACCAGCAGGGTGAGGCAGCGGCAGTGCTGCACATGGCGACTGTTGATAGTCTTCCTGATGGGTGTAGCAATTACACCCCGCCAAGATACTCTCTTCCATTCGATCCCACTTTGATGGTTTGCGCTGGGTGTGGTTTGGGCTTTGTTGACTCTTGCTCGGGCGACTCAGGCGGGCCAGCTACTGTAGCTTCGGAGTCCGGCGGCTGCCCGATCTTGGTTGGCACGGCAAGCTTCGGTGAGAGGTGCGGCCAAGTAGGGTTCCCAGGGGTCTATACTCGTATCAGCTCGCATCTCTGGTGGATCGAGAGCCTTGTTGAGGACAAGCCCTTCGGCAGCCAGTATCCGACAAAGCCAACGATGGGATGCGACAGGTGTAACTGGAGTTTATCGGCATGTGCGCTAGCGTCTGCAGCGACGCACAATGTTTCGCGTTGTATCATCGAAGCGTGGCTAGCGTCCTCTATCCGGGTAAAATTTGAGCCTTGCTTGTTTCGCGCCATTGATGAGCTGCCCTCTAACCAGACTAAGAAGAGTCAGAACACATCCTTGGTCGATGGAGGGGATACCCTGTTGTATGCAAGTGGCGACGATCGTGCGGCTCTCAGAGGTGCAGGGGGGACGGGGCAGATCTTCGGTCTCAAGCAACCGATACAAGCCTTCTTTCAGCCTCGGGTGTATAATGACGGGTTGTACATCCCCAATGGGCATGTTTTCTTTTTGCGAGGGAATCAAGTCGCGAGCAGCGGGAGCAGCACTGTTGACCTTGCCGGCGTGAAAGTCCAGACGCCATTTGTCGGCGAAGTCGAAGCCAGTGGAGAGGCAGAGGCTGTGGCTTCCGACGTTGGTTTCCCGAATTGGAAATATACCTGGCCAGCTGCGATTTCCTTTCCGAATCGTAGCTGCACCCCATACTACGCTTATTTGGCAGTGTTTATCTCCGCAGACCTTTCTTTCATCCAGGTCAGTAGGCCGATCAGACCAAGCATTGATCCTGTCATCAATTGATAAGCCCTGACACGGCGTTAGAAAGTTCGTCACCATCTCTACTCGACCATTGCTCCTGTCATCAGTTGATAAGCCCTGACACGACGACAGAAAGTTCGTCATCATCTCTGCATAGTCTTACTGACTCTTACATGTATTCATCTCATGTCTGCAGGTTTTGACAGAAAGCCAGGAGAGATGGCTACACACATCGAAAGAAGACAACAGACACGTAAATTACCCCATCCTGACTCGGACATAGTTATTATAATAAATGACATACTGGGCTCTTTTGAGTCAGGAAACGAAAAACAAAAGTGTCATAACAATCACAGCCCACAGCTGTGGCTTTGAATGAGGATGAAGTAATTGTGATCCAGATGTGTGAGTGACAACTACTTTTTGTGAATGCCAGGATTTTGCGCCACACAGGTTTCCTTCTTTTTTTTGTTTCCATCTCATCTCATGCAAGGAATATGAGCGAGAGTGATAGACACAAAACAAATTTGCAAAATCACGAAGAAGCTCAGCTAGTCATGAAACAAGCAGTGAGTGCAATGCACCAAGATACCATCCAAATAAGAGCAATACAATGAACTCAGGTGTCAATGTTGCCACTCTCTGGTCACACCAACGCTGTATCCAATGTCGCACTTAATGTCTGGCGCCCAGCGCCCAGCGCCCAGCCTATCCTACTCAGCCTATCTAGCCTATCTACGTTCTTGCAACTGGATCACTCTGAAGTCAAAGACCAATGTATGTGACGTCAACACAAATGCCGACCACCAGCATACACCAGGTACGTTCTCTCTCCTCCCCTCATCACCCCTTGGATCACCTCTTCATGCGCCTCCTACCCGAAGACCACCATCGCAATCACCTGCCCTGCGGCCCAGATGCCTGGGGCTGCTGTGCGCCCACTGCCTCAGCAGCGCCCCTCTCACCACTGTGCCCGTGCGCGTGTCCGACCAACAGCGCCCATGCAGACACTTGTGCAGCAACACAGCAGCGTGTCCGCATTGCCTGCCTAGGCCAGAATGCCCTCCCCTGGGCTGGCCCTTCCATTTATGGAAAGTGCAGCCCCTGCTGTGACTGTGTGGGCCTGGATGGGGAAGTTTCCAGTAGCTTCCAGTGGGTCCCCAGTGTCTGCGCCCAGGCCCACTTCTACAGTTAAGGGCCTGGGCCCTTTTTGTTTGGGCACCTACAGGTAGCCGTCCAGGCTTCAAGTGTTGGCCAAATTCTCATTGGCTCGCGGAGACTGTGTGACGACAATGCTGCTTTCTCATTTGTCCGTGGCCGCTGCGTGATGTGTCAGCCTCACACTGCGTGTACCCAGGGCGCAACCACCTGGCGTTGGGCTCAACTGTACAGCGCGGCCTTTGTTGCTGGAAAGAGCCTGGAGGCTCACGTTTCCCTGTAACCAACTGGCGTGCTGCAACTGTCTGAGTACCCACATATGGAAAATGTCGTAAACAGGCCTCTGGTGGTTATTCAGGCCCGCCTTCACTTAGGGAGGGCACAATGCTTGCGGGGGCCCCACAGCCTAGAACACTTGCATGGCTGTCGGGGCCCTGTGAGGGCTCAGTCCTTGCATTCCATCCCCCTTAGCTTCGAAAGTCCGCTGAGATGCTTCTACGCAGGTGCCTTCCCCGCCAGTCTTCACTCGTAGTCTGCCACGATCTGAGGTGCTGTCTTAACAAGCTCCTCGTTTGTGAACCAACGATCTCCCTTGGGATCCGTATGATGCCTGAACCTTACCTCGTCCACGTGGCCATCCATGGTTGGGGGCAGCATTGACCCTCTTGTTAGGAACATACCTGTTTCAGTGAAAGATGCAAGCTTTGAGGCATGAGACACAGGGTAAGTGAGCAGATGTCCAGGGATTCCAATGACATATGAGGGTCCATCCAAATAATTACCCACTATATCCAGGACTTCCCAAGGACCGAAGTACTGTGGTATTAGTTTTCGGGAGATTGTGAATTCCTTTCCCAATTGACTCCTTAATCCAGACTTGTTCCCCTACCTGAAATGTGGGCTGTCGCCGATGCTTGTTCCCAGAGGCAATCATTGCCTTGTGAGACTTTCTAATATGCTCGACAGCCTGCTGTAACAGCTTCTCACACTGGACACCAAATTCTATGGTTCTAGGTGTTGCAGCGGGTCGGTTTTCAGGAAGAAGGAAGTCTAGCACAGATGTTGGTTTCCACCCCAAACGCTGCTGGTGAGGATTGACGCTGGCGGTGTTGTGTACATTGTTATATTGTACAGATTGAGAGGTAGTTTCTCATCCCAGTCATCCTGGCTGGGCTTAATATAGTGCCTCAGCAGATGCTGCACCACAAGGTTCATCTATTCTGCTTGGCCGTTTGCTTCGGGATGATGCCCGCAAGTCATTTGAAGTTGGCTGCCCATCTGTTCTGCAGCCTTCTTCCAGATCTCACTGGTGAAACGGACATCTCTGTCGCTAACGATAGTCTTAGGCAGTCCAAAATCATGCACCCAGTTATCCATGAATAACTTGATGATGTGTTCAGTCCTTGCAATCTCAGGCATGGTGATTAGTCTAGCATACTTAGTGAACTGGTCTACCAGACGACGATGTGCCTCTTGCCACTCTTGCTGGTCATAAGTGTATCCATGGAATCTATGGAAGTACTCTGTTCCAGACGTAGTTCCAGAGACGTAGTTCTTCTCATCGTCAAGCATACCGGGCCACCCAGAGACGTTGTACTAAGTTAGCACTAGTCTTCTTGTATCCGAAATGCACAGTCGTGTAATGACATTCGCCTAGAAACAAACCACGCAAAATTTCAATAGATGGAACAACTAATATTTTGAACCATGCCTTTTCAGGAAAGAGTAACCCATCGACCATCACAAACTCATCTGATGTGGCCTTGTCCTGGGCCTCAAGTTTGCGCATGATGTCCATCGTGACGTGTGTTCCTTGTAGGCTTCCACGATACACCGAGTTACATCGTTAGTACTCGTGGTTAATGGGTGGTGTTATTTTTGGCGAATTTTTCACCGAAACTGCTGTATTTTTCTGAAAATTTTAAATTATTTTTTTTGTATGATATGTATGTGGTCTAGGGTATATTTGTATTCAGTTTCAACGTATTTAACCCAGTAATGAAAAAATTGGCAAAAACGCTAGGCTACCAGAGTGGCTAGGGACTACTTGCCCGCCCGGGCCAAAAAGGATTAAAATAAATAAAAATAAAATTTTATTTTTCAATTTTTATTTTTATTTTTAAATTGGTAAAGAATTTTGAAATGACCCTGAGGCAAAAGTTGTTCTGTTTATTTTTTTGCATAACATAGTTTTTTTTCGGATTTTTTGGGATTGTTTTTTTTTTTTCTTTTTTTTTTGCTGGTACCATCCGCACGGGCAACACAAGGTGACCCGGGCGGCCCGGCTGGTAGCCTAGCAAAAACACCGAATTCGGAAATTTTTTTGGCGAACTCCGAAAGCTACTCCGAATACAGTTTTCTAGTGCTTTTGACTTTTTTTTTCCGTTTTTTTTTGCCTGTTTGGTTTTTTTATGTTTGTATTATGAGCTTACATAGTTTGTTCGCAAAATTTTCGACGACATTGTGTGTAATGATGCGGCGAAAAATGCCGAATTTTGGGGCTTCCATTAAGCCAAACTCAGTTATTAGCGCAACTAGGCAGTCTGCCCTACGGGATAGCGCATCAGCAACCTTGTTGTACTCTCCCTTAACATAGTCTAGCTTGAAGTCATATTGATCAATGACTTCAATCCAGCGTTGGAGTGCGTAAGAGATAATGGATTCAGTCTTGATCCACTTGCGTGTCTGATGGTCAGTTCTCAAGTAGAAGAACCTTCCCAACAGATCTCCTACGGACAAGAGGGCGTAGAGTTCCCTTTTATAGGTGGACTTGGCCAACTTCTTTGATGGCATCTTCTTGCTCATGTACTTGATCGGCCTCAACTTCCTGTTGGGCCAGCACTGCGCCAATGCCATATTGGCTTGCGTCAGCGGTCACAACGAATGGCCTCTCCGGATTGGGGACCATGAGAATCTCATGATGTGTGAGGGCACACTTCAATCTCTTGAAAGTAGCCTCACACGTGTCTATCCATTCCCATGAAGTGTCAAGGCGTGTTAGATCAGTCCAAGGGGAGGCAACCGTATTACAATTCTTTACGAAGTTGCGGTAGTAGTTATACATCCCTAAGAATGATCTGACCTCAGTCACAGACTGAGGTCGTGGCCAATCACAAATGCTAGCCACCTTGGCATCTTCGAGCATTATCCCTTCCACGGATATTTCATGACCCAACTCGCAATTCTCTAAAATGAACTTATCTGAGTAGTCATGAAAAATCCTACTCATGGCGGATGGAATGTGTCCGGCTCATTGCAAAGCTCAAAGGGCATCACCATAAACTCGTACAGACCGTACCTGGTTTTAAATGCGGTTTTGTGCTGGTCCTCTGATCTGATCGCAATCTGATGGTAAGCTGACTTTTAAGGCCATCTTTATGAAGTACTTGCATCCCTGCACCCGGTCCAAAAGGTCATTGATGTGCGGTAAAGGCTTTGCGTTTTTAACGGTGATGGTATTGAGGCCTCTATAATCAATGCATTGAGGCCTCTATAATCAATGCACATCCTCAGTGTTCCCCTCTTCTTGGGGACAAATAGAACTGGTGTGCCGAAGGGGATGGTACTAGGACGAATCCAACCCTTCTCTGTGAGCTCTTTCAGTTGCTAACGAAGCTCGTCCAACTCGGTCGGCGCCATCCTATAAATTCTCCCTTTCGGTGTCTTGCTACCTGGGATGATTTTATAGCATGGACAACATCCCTGTCCACGACTCTTGAAGGCTCCTCAAACAGATCAGGGTACTTAGCAACGACGACTTCTATCTCTGGGGGTGATGTAACGGCATCCCCTTTCTTCAAGAAAAAGATTAAGTACATACCCTCCTCCTGGTTCTGTTTATAGTAGTTGTAAAACGTTGGTGCACACATGCAACTATAAGTGTCTATCAGACTGCTAGCCTTATACTTTGCAAGTCAAACTGTCCTCCCTTCCGATAGTACATGCTTAAGCACCTTTCGGTCTCAGTCGAACTGGGGCTTTGCAACCTCGAGGTATTACGTACCAAACAACATGTCAAATGGTAAGTCATCGCTAACTAGGAACGAAATCTTATGATTAAGTTATCACCCCCCATAGTAGAAGGTGCAGACTACGTCCTTGACATAGTCATTAACAACCATGTGCTCTTTGTTGGCAACGGTAGATGCTACGGATCTACACAAGCGTTGCACCCTGTCCCCTAAGCGCAGTCT